TTGCCTCAAAAAAAAAAAAAAAAAAAAAAAAAAAAAAAAAAAGCAATGGATTTAAAACAATTTTAAGTATGCAAAACAAAAATTACAAGCCCCCCAACAGAGAAAGAGTTTACTATTTTTTATGTTATGCTTAGCCTTAATAAATAAAGTAAAAACTATACATATAAAATACAATGCTGTGTGTGTACACACACACACACACATATATATATATATATATATATATATATATAAGGGGGAGGGTATAATAATCAAAATTACATGGCAGCTCAGTTACATACCCCAAGCAATCTTCACACCTTCAGCAAGCTCAATGCATAGGGAAGTGGAAGGAGGTGGGAAGAAGCCCTTCCCATTTTTTTTTTTGGGGGGGGGGCTAATGCTCTGGTTTATTTATAACATGATCTTTAGTTTGAACAATAAATGAATAAAATAAACAAACTTTATTTATTCCATTTGTTTTATATATTTTCTTTGGTTCTAAATTTTAGTATTTGAAATTAGGTTTATTAAATTTAGGTTATGGGATTTTATTTAGTACTGATTTATGTGGTTATAGATTGCATAGTAGAAATTTGATTTCATGTCTATGATGAATATTTTACTTATAATTGTTTTTATATTTTTATTATATCATGTGATGACTTGAAGTCTATAAGGTTTCCTTTTGCATTGCATTTTTTCTGTTCTGGTTTTTGGAGGGAGAAAAAAAAAAAAAAACACTTGTTCATTTCATACTCATGTTTGCCAAGTTCTCAGATAATCTTGGTGTGATGGATTATGGAATTTGTTTGATTATGCATGGGGGATAATTCTGAAATCCACTAAAAGAGAAAAAAGTATTTCTTATATATAAACCCCCACACAACATATTTATGATATAAGTACATATAAGGAAATATGTATATACTTACAAGTATAAATACATAAGTTATGGTGTATTTGCATCATCACTTTTTCTTAAGACAAAGAGTTATAACATTGACATAACTTAATATCTTTCTTAAAAGATGCTATGTACAAAAATATGAGAAATACATTTCTATCCTGATGAGTGGGTTATAGAATTTGTGAAAATAAATAATGAATAAATAAAAATAATAAAGATAAAAGAAAAACTTATATAGTCTTTTTACAGAGATATATATTTCTGAAGAAAGAGATGGATTTTTTTTATTTATTAATCTGATAGATTTTAACACGCACATATATATATATATATATATATATATATATATATAAAAAAAAAAATAGACATGTATAAGAAGTCAATTGCTGATACCCACTTGTGAGTGGACAGACATATCCGCCTACAGAATTCAGGAGTCAGGATGCTGAAGGTAACATCAGCTAAGTGACAAACCTTTTACTTATGTTATTCTCATTATATATATATATATATATATATATATATATATATATATATATATATATATATAGAGAGAGAGAGAGAGAGAGAGACTATCCAGATCATACCAAAAAGTACCAAAGATTGATACATTGTTCTTATGCAGAGGAGGTCACAAATATTCTGACCTTCAGCAGAAGTGCCAATCCATACTTAAATAATTTCATTTTTATGAATACTATGCTAGTTTATATAGAAATGTGATAATGTGTACTAAAACATAAACATGAAGACAATCTTCTATGTTCCGGCTATAAATAAATGCAATGAGTAAACTTTAAACCAACCAAAATATATAAGCAGACAGAATATACTGGCATCCACAAATGTTCATATTAACCAACTACATAATAAAGGACACAAACAGTTGAATCCAGATTATTATTTACTATATTTTTACATTGCTAAACTCTGTGTGTGTGTGTTTATAAGAGTGAGGGAAAGAGAAACCTGTTATCAAAATTTTACAATTGACTTGTTAACACCAATGAAAGTTCATTTTATAATTTTTTTTTATCAAAACTATACCAAAGCGAATAGTGTTTTCCTAGTGTCCATTACATTTTAGAGATTTGAACTGAAGAGAACTGTACTCTCTCCTACAGTTTTACTGGAGATTAAAGTAATTCAATAAGAGTAATCTAAAATTAAATGTACCTAAATTTTTAAATGGCATTCAAGCAACATTCTGGCATTTAATAATAGTAATAGAAGATATTTGATAAAACCTTTTATGCTTCCAATATGTGAATTGCTATGATAGAAAGTTTTAAAATCCGTCAGTTAAGTGTCATATGTGATACACACTCGGATAGTCAGGTCTTTTTGGATTGATGAGGAAGAAGATTTTCTTGTAGTAGGTTGCCTTTTCTTTCTGCAATAGAATGCTTGCCAACCAAGGCTATAGGACCCAGTCTATCCTGCTATTAAACCTATAGCTGGTGGGGAGTTGAGATAGATTTATATCTTTCTAAGCATATTTGTGTTTAAGTGAATATAACAAACCAGACTGGAACTCAGCTCTCTAATTTCTCATTCTGAGCCATTATCCATTACATCACACCACACATAAAAGCAAAATAATTTAAACAGGTCTACAGATCTGATCAGGACATTAAACAACATTTCAGATAGACATCCATTCAGGTTTTAAAAAAAAAAAAAAAAAAAAAAAAAACAGAGAAAAAAGAAAAAAAAAATCCCTACCCCCACCAGCTGCAGTAATTTGCTGTTAACCTGAAATTGAACCATTTCCATTCAAAATGATACTTGCGCATAGTTTTTTTTTTTTTTGCACATATACATTTTTTTTTTGCTTGCTGCTGCATATTTTAGCAAGAAACTGATAAAAGTAATCTTTTGCTTAATTAGATTAATAATTGAATTAAAAATTCAAATACTTTTTTTTTTATTCACAAGCACATTCGTCTCCATGTACTTGGTTAACCTATTAATGCAATAAAGTAAATTGATTTGCTCGTATCAGTGACATGCTTTGTATGATATATCAATAAACAATAGATTCTCCATTGTGTCACATAAAATTTATTCCAAATTATATTTAAAATTCATTATATCTACTTTTGAAAGTAGACATAAGTTTGAAACATAATTGGGAATAAGTCTTACATACACAATCGGACCTGGCTGTGATCAGGACACCCACAAATTCAAATTGTGGGTAAATGATTTTGTCTGCAAACAAAGGGCCTGGTGTTATATGTCCAACAGTAAAGTCTAGATATAAGGAAGAAAGTAGGGAGAAAGAGAGTAAAGCAAATAAACAAGTGAAAACTTTCAGGATAAAGTGCCACTCAGCTGGAAGGTAAAGAATTCCAATCAAGGGCTTCTATATATGGGCAGAGTTACAGTTAGAATAAATCAGCTGACCTGCTTGTAAGTAATAAGATGGCTGTCAGAAAGAAAACAGCTGTTAGATGGTGATAAACCATCGGTCAGAAATGTAGAGAAGCAGACAGAGAGAATCATAACCATGGTTGAGTTGTAAATATGATTGCCGTCAGATGTGCAGAAGGACGGTCATAGTTCTTGCTGGCCAAAGGGAGTATCTTGTCTTTTTGTCTATCATGAAAGAAGAAAGAATTAGCAGTGAAGACATCCCAAGTGTCACTAACCAGCACCAAAGACCATGCCTGGAGAATCTATAAAAGAACCAATATATTAACAAACAGAATTTGTGTTTGTTTTCTTCCTATGGCTTTATTACACCTTCCATTCTCTTGTGAATGTATACCGGTCTTTCCCAGGTTCTGTGCACAATAACAAATAAGAATCAAGCCACATTGTGGGATGATTTGTCCAGTTGGTGAACAATTAAATGGGGGACCCCAGGTTTATATTTACAGTTATAGATTACTCTCAACTTGTGAATATTTTTTTATGCCAATGTTCACCCAATACAAATCCCAAGAGTCACTCAAGGTAGAGGATTACTGTGTGGTGTTGTACAGGCGTAAGCAAAGGCAAGAAGTACATGGGGCTATGCAGAAAAGATAACAGTTAACGTAGACCTGAAGAGGTAAAGATTGTAGTGAGATATGATTAAAGGAAAATAGTTATAAAATCTTTTAGAAATCCGGAACAAGCCAATTAAATATTCCAAAAATCCATATGGGGAGGGCATAAGCATTATTGGAACAGTAAATGGAATCAAAGAACAGAATTCAAATTCCAACTCAATGAACTTATGTTCTTTTTGCATTGTTACCTTTTCTGTCCATCACTGGATATTTTGATAAAATACCTCATCACTGACATGTCCTTGTGGTTGATGGGTGGGTGAACACTTAGCCAAACAACTTTACCAAATTAAGACAATAATGACAAAAGCTCTTCCTCTCATGATCAAACTTGACAGGGACCAATTAAAATTCTTGAAGCACCCAGAACAATTTAAAAAAATCTATCATTGACCATCTGAGACAAGGAAGTGTTACTATAAAGAAAGTATTTAAAACCAGGCACACCTTACTCCCAACCACAAGAGTCTGATATAGCATTCTTCAATGAAACATTAAATTGATTTATGAGTTAGATATTAAAATAGCATTTTCTTACATCAACAATATATCTATTTCAGAAAGGGCAAACGAGACAATGCTTTCACTACCTTTTATAAAGCAAGACTGTTGTGTTTTTATCTGCATAGCAACAAAAAGCAGATATAAACAAAAAAAAAAAAAAAAAATCAACAGATGAAGTAGCAACCACACACAGATCAATTGACAGCTCATAGGCTAAAATAATGGCAGTTTGATAAGCAAAGGCGTTAACCAAAAATCTCTTTATTTCTTTCCATTAATCAAAAGATTTTATTTGCATTCTCAAAATAGATGCATAAGTAAATTGACTGATTTGTTTTTTTACGTTTTATCAACCTTTACAAGGTTACTTAAAGCCAGAAAACATTTTCAGATTGTAAGAAATTTTTTGGAGATAATAATTTATTGATACACGTCCTTAATTAACCCACAGCTGGGGATGGGAAGAAGAGGTGGATTCCTACATTTCCCCAAGGGCTTTTGCGCATAAGTGAATATAATTCCAAGCCATTATCCATTACACCACATACTTACAGCACCTGCTACTCCCAAGTAGTCACTCATCTTAGTACTGACCAGGCTCAACATTGCTTAACTTTGGTGATTGTACAAGAATCAAGGTTTCAACATGAAACATAGCCTGTTAATTGATTAGAAATGTAAAAAGTTGGTCATCAACTGTGTAAGCCAAAAAAAAAAAAAAAAAAAAAAATTTTTTTTTCTCATTCAGCTGAAGATCAAAAGATGACTTTTTTAGAGGGTGGCATAATGATTTATGGTGTATAAAATGGAATCAGTAGGCTGGATGAGGCTGTGGCATTCCTGCTAATGTCCTCCAGAAATGCATGAATACAGTTCTCCTTATCCCGTATGAGTAAAATAGTAAAGTAAACTTTGGTATGGCAACCAATCTCGAACAACTCTGAATTCAAAACTGAAGTCAAAATGAAACCAGGCTGCCACCTTTGTCAAGAAGTAACCAGATATTAAAGAAACAGTTGTAAATAGGGAAAATCATGACTATCATGAAGAGACTTTTTTTTAAAAAAGTAATTTGAAAAACTTAGAAAAGACCCAGATTGTGTTTATATTAATTACGGCTTTAAAATTAGTATTTAAAAAAAAAAAAAAAAAAAAAAAAAAAAAAAAAAAAAAAGAAGAATGAAGCAGATTCAAAAAGGTGATAAATCATAGTTGGGTTTTCTTCTTCAATTAGTTCAGTACCCGTTGCTTTGCTGATGACAAGATCAAATTTAAAATCTAAATTGTTCATTTAAAATGCAACATTTATCAGAAAACATTCAGTTTATTTACAGAAGAAAGTATAAAAATTATGTTCCTTTTGCTTTACACTCTTTTCCTGTCAGCTATGGGTTGTTGCCAGACAGAAAAGGAAATTAAACTCCGAAAAACAGATGCTCATTTCAATTTCATTCAAATTATTTGCATATATGCATATTTTTATTCTTTGACAGCTTTTAAAAAATTCTACAAATTTTTTAAATTTAGAAAAAACATTCTGTTTATTACCAAATAATTTCAGGAAGTTCTATATTTTTTTTTTTTAAATCTGTATCATTCCATGCAAGTCAGTAAAGCCACTAAGACACAAGGGGTTACTGAGTGTGGAAGAATTAGGAACAGAAACATTAATAATGAGCAGGAAGAGGAAAGAGTAATCAGGAGGACAATAGATAGCAATTGACATTGTATTTAAATTTTTGCAGACTAAAGTTGGCTGGAAAACATGGAGCTGGAAGGGAGTTTCACAAGTGAGAAATACAAGAAAAGAAACTTAACACAGAATCTACAGTTATTTCTAAGCTAGCTCAAATGTAAATTGATGAGATCTCAATGCCAGTAGAGTACTATGCTTAAATTAAAAAGTCATAGCAAAGAGCTCATCCAAACAATTAACATGAAAGTATTTATAGAAAAGACAAAGAGGCAATGGGAGAGTGACTAGAACTGAGCTGCAAGATCAGGACCAATAATATTGCTGATTCTTTGGATTTTATCAAGGAGCTCAAGGTAAATAGCAGGGGCACCCAGGCAATATGTATCAGCAATATTCTAAGCATAGACAAATGTTAGACTTATAGATATGCAAGATAGATTCTAGAGATAAAAAAGTGGATGCAATATAGTCTTTTCACTTCATGTCAGCTGAGAACATTAGTCCAAGAAGGTTCAATGAGTCACTTTCCTGGAGGTTAGCATCAGCCATGCTGATGGAAGGCAGAGAGAGTGGGGGGGTCTCTCAAATGATTAATGGAGAGAAGTTTAGTTTTATCTGATTTTTAGGGTTTAAAGAACAAACTTTTTTTTTGTCCCAACTGTGATTCTATTGGTCAGCCCTGGCTAGTTGTTATCAAAACTGAATGAGGGAGGAATATATTATTCTAATGCATTATTTAAAAACCAGTCAAACTGTGTGTGGGGGCATGTATGCACACACATTAAATGGCACAAGCACATGTATGTCACACCCACACAACACAGACATATGCATCATACAAAGTCACGCATATAGACAATATACGACAGACAGCGAATCAGCTATTTTTTTTTATAATACAGATGTGAAAGAAACCAAAGTTGAAAATACAAAACTCAATGAAATTTCTAACTGAAACCAACTAAACAAGTTTAATGGTGTTATACAAATAAAGTTCACAGTCATCTGTCTTTTGGCCAATTATTAAAATATTAGAAAGGCTACCCATTAGCAAAGTTAATGTAAAAGTTAAACATCAAAAATCTCTACCAAAGTCTATATGTGCTAAGGTTTCAGTTATTTGCCAGTACTGTTCATTCCACCAACCAATAAAATCAAATGCTTCTTTTGTCTCTCATTCTACAGAAGGATACTGAGAATACCAGGGAGTGAATGTGTGCGCAATGACAAAGTTTTAGAAAAAAAAATGGAAACAAAAAGGACACTTGAATTAGAAAGAGATAGTTGAAATTTCTAGGGCATTTAATGAGGAAAGAGGGTTTAGAAAATTTGGCACTCACAAGACATATTGAAGACAAAAGAGAACCAAGAAAAGCACACATATCCATCCTAACAAGCTTGTTGAGAGTAGGAATTAAGAGATAGCAAAAAGATAGAGTTTACTAAGCACTACAAAAGAAAGGAAATTGTGGAGAGCCATGATCAGAAAACTCAGTGCCTGGTAAAACTACAAAAGACAAACTCATAGACAGCAATACTATCAGGAAAAGTTACCATATAAAATGAAATCTATGTGTGTTTGCATTTATCTGGAGTCAGATCAGATGATTACCTATGCATTAAAAGATAGACCCAGCTGTGACAAGAATTAGTCATAACCTAATTCTAATTAAAATATATATATATATATATATATATATATATATATATATATATATATATCTATCTCAAAAGAAAAGTATTATTCATACACACAAAAATGCAATGTGTGTGTGTGTAGGGGGGGACAGAGATGAGCAATTCACCTTACTCAATGTCACAGATATTTCAGGTGACATAAGAGAAATAGAATTATTTTTGTTGTGTTAATTTCATAAATAAAATTTCATACTTATTCAATGATAAATAGTACATATATCATTTGTCAACCAAGTAGAGATTTTGAGAGATTCATTTTCAACAACTTAGTCTTTCACAGGTTATTTAAAGCCAGAAATATTGTAAGAATTTTTGGGGGAGAGAATAATTATTTAGCAATACAAGTCTTAATAATTAATTAACTCTTGGAGGAGATAGAGAAGTGGATTCATGTGTAAGTGAATATAATGAACCCGACAGGAGTTGGAACTCGGCTCTCCAATTAACAATTCCAAGCCATTATCTATTATACCAACCACACATCCAAACTTACAGCACCTGGTATTCCCAAACAGTCACCTATCTAGGTACTGACCAGGCTCAATGTTGCTTAACTTTGGTGATCATACAGATATGGCCATAAGCGAGACTGAGTATATTTTCCTTTTTATTATAAGAAATATTCAATATTTAAAGAAAGGAAATAGATGAAAAATAGTTTGCTTATCTCACTGTCTATATCTCTTCTGACAATGTGAAAACAATTTTGTTTTTTAATAAAACACATGCAGATAGTAATTTTGCAATGCCATAGTACTTATATTAAAAACTTACATATTGCAGTCATTTATTATGACCCACAATAAGAAATAAAATACCAAAACAATAAAAATGTTCTGAAGCAGTCAAAGCAATCACATTTAAAACATTGTAATTTATTGAAACTACCAGCAGGAATTTGAGACAAAGCAAAAAGCTTGTTAAGTCAGACCAACATGAATTTCAACACAGTATGACTTTCATTGCTTGGCAAAGAAAGAATTTGAGAACATCCTCCCTGTTGTTGTAAATGGAATAACCTATATTAGAAGCACTACTATGAACACTTAGAATTTACTGTGTTACAGTTTTCTGGTTTGTACTACCAGACAATTCTTTTTTTTTCATACACAGAGCAATTCTGAAGAAGCCAAAGAATGAATCAGCAAAAACAATTCTTGGAATGGAAAACCTGCTTTTTATATTATTACAATTATTTATATATATATATATATATATATATATATATAAACCTTCAACTATAAAATTCTTTAAAATGTCTATACAATAATGAGGATTCAGCTTAGCATCCCATATTGTAAAAAAAAAAAAAAAAAAAAAAAAACACTGTCAATATAAATAAATTTAACATTAAAAAGGAATATAGAAATTAAAAAAAAAAAAAAAAAAAGACAGAAAATGAGAGAGAAAAGGAAAAATTCTTTGGAGGAAATTCCATCCCAGCTACTGTTACAACTGCTTAATAGAAACAGGGTGGCAGTGAGGTCATTCTGCTTCTAGTCAAAACTTGTAGTATTATAACTAATGTAAATTCTTCATACAACTGATGAAAATTTGATAAAAGAATAAATGAAGAACATTTTTTCTTAAAATTTCATTAGTTAATTGTTCACTTTTGCATACAAGACAACATGTCTGAATCCAATGAGTTTAAAGTTAGATTATTTTTTTCTCTTATTTCATTCCAAGCAAGAGAATAAATATGCTGATATGCTAGGACTTACTGAGAGCAAAAGAAACTTGAAATAAAACACACACACACACACACTATTGAGAAAGGAGAACAGGATTCAAAATCACAGATGTATGACATAATTTTTGAAAAGTTGACAAAAGCAAGAAGCAAGAGTTCCACAGGCGAGAAGTGCAAGAGAAGAAACTATTCAAATTGAACTTACGATTATATTCAGCAATTTCAACAGTAAAACAGTGAGATCTGGCTGCTAATCTAGTCTTCTTTTATGTGTCATGTCCATTCACAACATAGGTTATCATGGCCCTCCACATCCTCCTGTCCCTTATAATACTTAATAAGTTTTATCTTTTTGTTATTTCTCCCAAACCCTGTTCTGCCATCCATTTGCTCAAGCCCATTAAGTATATCATGCATTGCTTTCCCCAGTCTCTCTTTCCGTCCTGTGAGTATCAGATTTTCCAAGCCCTCCTTCCTCATTATGTGTCCCAAAAATTTCAATTGCCTTTTCCAGATGTTAAGTATGAGTTTCTTCTTCGTT